AATAACATTAAAAAAACGAGAAATAATACTCCTTCAAGAATTTTTGGATTGGTAATTTTTTTAAGAAGGCATATTCAGACTACGAGTACTATGATTTGAAAACAAAAGAAGAAGAATTACCACATTCCCAAGTTTTACTCTTCATTTCTGGTACCACCGATTTCAGCACATTATTTCGATCGTAAAATTGTATACATATATTTATTAAAGTAATTTCACGCATAGAAAAGTAAATGACCCTCAACATATATTTAGTAAAACATGAAGCAATTATAAATAAATATTATACAACCACTACAAGAGATAATAAATATACATATATGTACATCTGTGCATATAAGTTTGTATGTATGTTTTTTTGTTGGTATGTATATAGTACATGTACGCATACTTGTGTATTACCACTTGTGTAGATGCTAGCGATATTAGTACATCTGCACTCGAATTTCTACAACATAACCGCAATCTCGGCAATAAATCGACACTTGAAATTGTAATTACGTACGAAAAGTTTTATTATTGAATCGATGTTACATCGAAGGAGTGTACATATCTATGTACATATTTATATACATGCAAACATGCTATATGAGTATTTGAAAATGTACAAACATACTTATTATTTAGCCCTTTATCAGAAAAAAAAAATACTATTGTACACACGCACACTCGCAACTGCCCGGAAAACATGCAACACGCGGTCGTAAAGCAATAAAAAATGCAATCAGTGAACAAGTGAACAAAAAAGTAAAAATAAAAAGAAAAATTACGAACTTATAAAACCAAACGCCACTGCGTCAAAAAAAAATTCATCGAGAAGAAGAAGACGACGATGACAAAAAAAAAACGAACCGCCAAAATGCAGTAAAAATGTTTATGATGCACATTATGAGTAATACGCCAATGAGTTGTGGCCAATAGAGCCAATGGAATGAACGCTTGGATGCCGAATGTGATGGACCCCAGTGACTGACTGAGCCGCACTGCCTGTGGATGGTGCAGTTGGGTAGCATGAAGCGATAAACACTTGACGACACAACGCCACAGGCTGTGCTGTTGCCGCAGCTGCAATGTAGCATTTGTTGCAAGTATGCTTTAATGAATTTATCTGCATGTAAAAATGCGCATATCTACTATTTAATACCAATTTTGCCAAACCACCGATGTGTGTGTGTGACGTGTTGCTGGGCACCCATCATTAGAAGTCATTAAATGCTTTCAGCAGCAATAAATAAAATACAATGCCAGCAATGGCACAATCGAAGGACGCGGGATATTTATGCATGTACACAACATTGCCACACATATTGAAATAATAATAAAACGAATGTTATCAACTGACAAAGCGGCGGACAGCAAGCAACATTCATCACACAACACCAGCAACAAGCCAGGCAACCCAGGCAACCCCGGCAACCCAGGCAACAGTTAGCAGCTGGGTTCTCTGTGGTAATGGTGATAGAGTGAACGAACATTGAATACTCTAAAGCAGCTAAGCCAAGCCAGTATTTTGCACCACCCTTCCACTAAAGTCCGCATGGCGCATTACGAATCCCAAGCGGAGTTTCGAGTGGGGTGGTGTGTAAACAAAACGCTCAACGCGTCATCAACAAAATCACTAACACCATCATTGACAGCGACATTAACGGCGGCCAGCAATGGCATTGTAGCAACCAACCAATAGGCAACAACAATATTGGCAATAACAACGAACGTTTGAACGTTTGGCTGCTGGGCTTATCGCATATCTCCCGTCGAATCATTGCAGTTGCTGCTGCTGCTGTTATTGGCCTCATCAAACGCGGCAAGCAATGAAAATAGTAAAGGCAAGAGCAACAATTGTTCTGTCATCACAACATCACTAGCAAACAATACAAATGCCAATATAACTGTACAACAACAACTTCGACACTTGGAGGTCATTGTTTAGCGAACGACTGTACTTAAATATTACTACCATGTACTAGCTTTGCTAGCCGATAGGGTTAATTTCAATTTTAAATACACTGGAAAATCAGGTGTCTTGAAAGTTACTCGAACGATAATGTCCTTTAAGGAAGAGTGTTGTTACAAAGAATTGGAAAATCTTATTTATGTATGTACAAAGGCTAGATGTCCACAGAGTTTAATCAAAGTTTGATTAAAATGACTTGACAGGGGAAATGTATTTATCTGGTTACTAAAAACATAGAACGAAGACTGTCATACCTCTCAATGTTTTCCTGACTGAAGTGAAACACTCGGCGGTAGGTGATTATGCGTTTTTCCCAACTTAAACCGATTGCTCTAAATGATCCTAAAATGGAATGTAAAAGCTTATACAGACGGCAGCGTTGATCCGGATTAACTCGGACTTAATCCGAATCAACTGCAGTTGATTCCCGAGTTGACCGAATCACTGCTGCCGTCTGTATAAGCTTTAACATAAGTAAAATAACGGCAAACCAAACGAAATATTTTTCATTTAATAACACGTCATAACACGCAGATAACAACATTTTAATTTTTCACAACGTGTCTACATACGTGGTCCTTATCCCTATAAGAGGCAACGTAAAAAAACAATTTCGAAATCTGAGCCAAAAAAGTTCTGGTCATATTCGAGTTAAAAACTCACTCGCGTTCGAATTTCTCTCAGTGATATTAAAATGGATTGTTGAGTCATCATCTTGACACATTCCAGCTAACGAAATGTTGCATGGCTTATTGCTTGGCATAATGATGGAAATTAAATTCTGTCATAAAATTCTATCCGCACACAAACAAAAAGCGTCATATAGCTTGTAGATGTGGAATTCCAACACTTTCAACAGCCACATGCCGCAAAATGGGCACAGCCGCCAAAAATAGTAAAAACAGGCTTACAAATTCTGAAAAAGAAATTACGCGGATTCATGGCAAATATCCCAAATCAAAAAATTAAAAAATTAAAAAATTTATAAAAATTTATATTTACAGACATGGAACGGACTGATGATGATCAAAATGTAATGCTTATAAAATAAGGGTTCGCCATCAATTGCCTGTCAAGCGATGAAAGTAATTCGAAAAAAATGGATGTAGTATTTGATACATTGGAATTGATTACAAATGAGAAGTGGTTCATCCATATTGTAATGCGAATGCTTGGCTTTGAAGTCGACTCTGCAGTTGGTGGCGTTCTCATGCAATCGCTTTTTCGCTGCTGGGTAGTTAAATGGAATGTGGCTAGAATGGAGCTTTACTAGCCACCTATATGTGTATGAGGCTGTATGAATGTATGTATACATGTATGAGCCCTGCAGTAAAATTTAGAGACAGTCTGACAAATCGCTTGTTCCGAACTACATACATATCTCAGAACTAGTGCAAAAGGAATGCAGAGCGGGACAGTTGAAACTTGCGGTGCAATGCTCACTACTCGTACAATACGAAAGTGGCTCAGCGAGAAGACCTCCATCCAACTCAACCATCGTTGGTTCAAATCGCGGTGGAGGCAGTTGTGAGTTTTCAAATTTAATGATTTTAAATTGTTGCGTGCAACTTACAATATTTTTTTTTTTTTTTAATAAAATATGTAACAAAAACCGAATCTGCAAAAGAAAAGAAAAAACGAAAAAACATGTCCAAAAATCGAATCTCAAAAACATTTTCTTATAAAAAAAAAAACTGTCCAAAATGGAACCAGTTAAAAATTGGTTGCAAAGTAATGCACTGTGCGACAATTGCCACCGCCAATGACATCGCCGTGTAAAACTGGACAGTTGAAAGCATTGCTTGGGTATTGAGCTAGAACTGGTACTGTCGGCAAAAGGTCTAGACTAGTCAAATTTTCTGCAGGGAGATAGCTTGGAGGCAGCGTTGCCGCGAGCTTGAAAAAAAAAGTATCAGTTGCCAAGCAGAAAAATATCAAAAAGTATCAAAAGCAAACAAGAATTTTATTTAAAAAACAAATAATAAATAAATAAAATTTTATAATTAAATTCATAGTAATAGAAAACATTTTATATTACTTGCTTTAACAAAAACAGAGAATCTGTTTCCTTACTAAAAATTGCAAAAAGTGGGTCACGTAGTATGGGTACGTTCCCTTATCTACATATTTAATTTTTTTTATTTTTAATACTTTCTTTTTAAGACTGGAATTGAAGAGATCTTTTATCATTCCACGAAAAAACAATGCAAAAACATTTTCTTATATTGTTTCTGACAGTCATTTCAACTAATTTGCTGTATCAATTTGTTTGAATCCTCTTTGGATTCCTTAACGAAGGTCGGAGGCGGTCAGTAGGTGACTGAAAATTGCGCTTGCGTGTCGGAGCCCAAATATTTTAAATTAAATCAACAATATTAAACTTTTTTTTAACATTTTCGATTTGAAGTCGGTGGGATTTGTAAAAGCTTCTTTGTCGATTTCTTACCGAAATGGCAAAGCTTGGCACTGAATCGATGGATATCACGAAAATGATCTGTTTCTCGCAGCTTCCATTTCAAATATTTATTACTTCTCTTACAAATATTCAAAAATATTTTGCAAATCGTACGGGCATATGTGTAAAAATTGTACATATATATTTATGAAATTACTTCCGGAATACTTTTTGGCAATACAGAAAAAGTGTTTGCTCGAAGAAGTAATTTTCTCGATATGAACGAGCTCCCACCAGGCTCTGTTGAGCTAATATCTTTACTCAATTAAAAACGTACGTATAATTATGAAAGTGCGATAACCAAGTCGTGATTTTGTAAAATTTTAATAACTTGTCGTGAGCGGGTGTGTATATGTATAAGAATTTAGGTGACACATTTCCAATAAAAACTTAGCGCCGGCACGCAGGAATTATCATTCGACTCCGCAGACCCACTAACATAACATGGGTAAGAACGCCAAAAAGGACACACTCAAGTCTTGCTGCAGATCAAAGAACAATTAAAAACGAATAGCTATTTGTTTCTCATTTATTCCTTTTGCTTTTTTATTTTCAGAAATTATCTCGAAAATATTGCTGCTCACTTTGACAATGGCGGTAGCGGCCATCTGCACCACAAACAGCGAACAATCAGCGCGCATTGTCTGCTACTTCACTGACTGGTCTATCTATCGGCCCGGACTAGGACGTTACGCATCCGAAAATATTCCAGCGGAGCTATGTACGCATCTGATCTACTCGTTCGTTGGAGTAAATGACACCGATTGGTCTGTGCTAGTATTGGATAGCGAAGTGGATGTCAAACAAAATGGTTTCCGTAATTTCACTCAACTGAAAGAGAAGAACGCAAACCTTAAGCTTCTAGTGGCTGTAGGAGGATGGAATGAGGGTGGTGCGAAATATTCCGAACTCGTTTCACTGGCTGAGCGGCGCCAGAGCTTCATAAGTAGTGTCGTAGAATTTTTAAACAAATACAGTTTCCATGGTTTGGACTTGGGGTGGGAGTACCCTGGCGCTACGGATCGTGATGGAACTGCTGCAGATAAAGAAAACTTTGTCTCTTTAGTGCAGGAATTGCGAACAGCTTTCGACGCTGAGGGTAAGGGTTGGGAAATAACTATAGCCGTTCCCGTGACTCAATCAAAACTTGACGATGGCTACAACGTAACTGCACTGTGCGAGTGAGTAGATTATATTATCAAATCACTGTAGAAAACTTAAGAAACGAAAACTTAAAATGTAGGCTTTTGGATGCCGTACACACAATGACCTATGATCTGCACGGCACTTGGGACGGTTTCGCTGATGTACACAGTCCGCTTTACAAGCGCGATTTCGAAACTGCAGCGTATGCAAAACTAAATGTGGTAAGTACTGTTTAGGTAATTTCGCTAGTAGGACATTAACCTTGGAATTCCCCATCCGTAGCATGACGCTCTTGCACTATGGGAGGATTCGGGCTGTCCCGCAAATAAATTAGTGGTCGGTGTGCCATTCTATGGTCGCAGTTTTACACTCAGCGCATCCAACCATAACTACTCCCTCGGCACTACCATCACTGGCGCGGGCGATGCAGGAGCTTACACTCAAGAAGCCGGTTTCCTAGCCTATTACGAAATCTGTACCCAGGTGCAAAATGCCTCCTTGGGATGGACCGTTGAATGGGATGATGAAGGAAAGGTACCCTACGCGTACAAGGACACTCAATGGGTTGGCTACGAAAACGAGGAATCGGTGCAAATTAAAATGGACTTTATCAAGGAAAAGGGCTATGCTGGCGCCATG